TGCAGCTGCTAACCAGATGCTGAGACCCATTGCATTTACTGTTGGGCCCTTACCTTGAATAGTCTATTCACAATGTGTTGTCTAGATTGGAGGAAATTTTCTTTATGGGTCTTACCCAGGAGTAAACAAAATTAAAATATTGGCTCATAGTCTATATGGATAACTTCAGATACAAAAATGACACATGCTTCCAAAAAGAATAATCACAGTCAGCAAACCAAACCTTTTCCTTGACACCTGTCGTGAAGTATTTTGTATAAGATTTGTTGCAATTACATAACATTGGTGAATATGGGGGCACCAGGGTGTTACTTAGGGGTACAGAATGTCACAATATGCCTCACAGTTTGGGGCCCCTGGTGTAGACACTTCCTACAGTGATGGGAAAAGGTTTTCTGTTCCTGAAGGTAATCTGCCTGCCTCAGTAGCCAGGTCAGTGGAAGAATTCTTCCATCAACGAGGCCGCATCTACACCAGGGGCTAAATTGGCATAGCTAGGGCACTCCAGGCCGTGAATTGTTCACACCATTGAGATCCATAGCTTTGCTGGCCTAACTTTTAAATATAGGCCACGCTTTAGACTTCACTTACGCTCATCGCCCAGCTGTGCGACCCTGAACCAGGACTCCCAGCTGCTACTTCTCCCAGAAATAGGAGTCAGTGGCAGCAGGTGCTCACAACCCCTGTCTCATCCTTGGAAGGAGCCAGGAACAAGGAGCCTTCCCCCCAAGTGTGCAAGCTAACACTTGCTAGGGAGGGGTGTGGCCCGGGCATGCAGGAGATGTGCTGATTCAACCCATCATAAGCTTCTGTGGAACTTTGACTGTTTAGCCTGAAAATCCTGGTCACCCTCTGCAGGGGTGAATCTCACCTGGGCTACAACAGCCACTTGCTAGCTTTGGAGGTGCTAATTCCATGGGTGCTCCAGGGCTGAAGCAACCACAGAAGGAAAACAGGGAGTGCTCAACCCCCACCAGTCAGATCTGGTTGGTGGCATCAGTGATCAGCTGTTTGGCAGCTGGGGGAGGCTCTAAAGGTTGAGCAGTGAGTGGTGGGTTGGAGAAACAGAGGAGAATTGAAGCAGAGGTGGAGTGAGAACAGTGTCTTGGGGAGAGAGCAGAGCAGAGGTGGGAAGAAGTGGAGCGAGGGTGAGGCCTCAAGGGAAGGGATGGACTGGGAGCATGGCCATAGGGCAGAGCAACTTGGGGGAAAATAAAAGACAGTGCTTAATCCCCTTGGGCAAATGGGCATGAATTAAACCTACTGTTCTCTTCTTCCACAGTTCTGATATGATTGCTTTCTCTTGTCAGATATGAACCAACAGCTCCTCATAATGGAAATGTTTCTGATAACACTGATCTCAAGGGTGGTGTATAGGAAAAGATATGATGATCTGGACCTTCCAGAGTGCACTGACCAGGAAACTCAGGACAACAACCAGAACACCAAGGTCAACCTAAATGGCAAAGCTCTGGAAGATGGAATCCAAAATGTTTAGAAGATGGATGAGCAGTCTTGTGAGAGCTGGGACAATACCTGTAGCCCAGCTCAACTTGCCCATGGCAAGACTCTGACTAATATATATGCTTTACTTGAGGAGACACGCAGTGCAATATTTGTGTCCTTATACGGCAAATACCAGCTATCCAAGCTGGAACAACTTCTGGTATAAATTTGTGTGATCTGGACAGAAAGTACCAAAAAGTGGGAGGATAAACCTCCTTTATTTTCCAGAGATACAGACATGGACCAAGAGTTTTCAGTGTCCATGTAATTGCATGTAGTTGTCAGATAGTTTGAATCCTATCATCTTGTTTGAACCTTGTGGTGTAAATGTGAATTGATATGATACAGAATTGAACACATTATGGTGTTTATACAATGTGACAAGATCCATGAACCTAGCCTCACTCTCTTTTTTTATCTTTATTGTGTTTTTCTAATTTTAGGTAGCCACTGCCACAGTTGGAGCTCTCTACGTCTTCCAACACCTCAGGTGCCCACACTCTCTTTGTTCAAATCCCTCCTCAACACTCATATTTTCCACCAAGCCCACAACAGTTAACCTACCTCAGTAAATATCTCCTCACAAACCCCACAAAGCCTGCTTGTCCTGTCCACCTCAATAGTCGATACGTTCTTGGATGAGGGCTGTCACTTTTTCCTTTGTCATTTATACGAGCGGTTTTCAGCCGTTCTAGACTATGGTACCCCTTGCAGGAGTCTGATTTGTCTTGATAGCCCATGTTTCACCTCACTTGCTTATAATACTGTATATAAAAATACAAAAGTCCCAGCACACAGCACCCCTCAGCCCATACCATGCCACCCTGACTTCTGCACTGCTGCTTACTTCAGAGCTGGGAGTTTTGCCAGCAGACACAGCTCTCGCAACGAGTGTTCCATGTAAGCCATGAGTTTGGGCAGCCACTCAGGAGAGATTCACATGCTGCCCAGCCGATTAGCAGAGCACTCACAGCCGCCTAATTGACAGCATCGGTTTCTATTGGTGGTGTACCTCTGCACAAGGGTGGAATTTGGGGAGGGTAGGGTGGGCAACAGCAGTGCACTCCGGGACATGGCTAGCTTTTCATCCCGTTCCCTGGACTATCAGGGAGTGAGGAGAAAGTACTTGTATTCTGTGCATGCCTCTCACACCTGGTTGGTGAGCTCCCTTTAACACATTTTCTGACATGATGGATTTTCCTAATGTAGACAAGGCCATAGATACTTTACCACAGCAATCTGCATAGTTACTTCCATACCTGTAATCTAATACCTATCCATATGAGATGGCAGTTACAAGTATTTTCTAATTGCTGACTGTGACTTCATGGGACTCGCCATGGGGCAATAGACTATTTAGAGCCAACAAGTCTTCTTATGAATTGGGGTTGGAAACAGTTCAATTGCTAGGGCAGATGGGACAAAATCATTTTCTAAAAGTCATGTTTTTTCTATAATGATGTTGAAAATTGTTTTGTTCCATACATTAAATTAACTGGCTTTCAGCGTTGCTTCACTGGAACCTGTTGCTAATAACTGATCAATTTCCTAGTTTATATGGGGATTTACAACTTGAATCAAGTGTTGGAAGCAGGCATGGAAATTGAATGACTTGATTTTTCCCACACGCTGTTAAAGGTGTGTCATCTGAGCAAAGTAAGAAGCCTCTACAGATACCTCTTCTGATTAACCTATTCTGTGGAGAGAAGGCTTCATTTTCGATCACTGTCAACCAAGCATTTGTCTCAATCACATATCTGAAATGCTCATTAAAATAGATTCATATTTTGAAATCAATGTGAGCTTAGTTTAACCATGAGAGTCTTTTTAGCTATTATGCTTTTAGAGTAGATTTTTAATACTTCTACTATTATACATCTGTCATATTTGATCAATAGAGAGATGAGGTGGGTGAGGTAATATCTCTTATTGGACCAATTTCTATTGGTGAGAAAGACAAGCTTTCGATCCCCGCAGAGCTCTTCTTTAGCTTTGGGAAAGGTACTCCCAAATGTCACAGCTAACTGCAAGGTGGAACAGACTCTTAGGCATAAGTAGTTAGCATATACTCTAAGGCAGTGGTCACCAACCAGTAGATTGGGATCAACTGGTCAATCTTGGAGCCTCTGACAGATGATCCTGGGGTTTGGCCAGGAAGCTATCAAGCGCTGGCACTTCAGTTGCTCCTCCCCACCACTGTCGTACTGCTGCTGCTCTTTGCCTTGGAGCTGCCCCTCCTGCTTCCTGTGCAGGGTGTAGGAAGGAGAAGGGGAGGTGCTGATGCCAGGGTGTTCCTCCCCCCCCCCCCACTTCTGTACCCCATCTCCACACAGAGAGAAGGGGGTGGAGGGAGCTTGGCAATGCAAATCTCTGTCACTCACACACACATTGTGTGTGTGTCTGTCATTCTCACAAACACATTCTCATCTCCCGACCCAACACATACGTGGGTTGTTGTTGTTACTTTTTTACTGCTTGCAAAGTGGATTATTTGTGGTTTCTGGCTGGCCTGTGCATTTCTTAATTTGCATTTCTTACGCTTATATTCAGTTCTTTGAGTAGTGAGTTCTAAAACGACTAGCCTGTTGTGACTGGAGTAATTATCTTGTTGGTAATTGATGCTCCTGGCAGTGGCTGGCATGTCCCTGTAGCCCCTGAGAGAGGCAGAGCAGGGGGTCTCCACATGCTGTCCTTGCCTGCAGACACCACTCCCGTAGCTCCCATTGATCAGTAACAGGGAATCGTGGCCAGTAGAAGCTGTGGGCTCAGTGCCTGTAGATGAGGGGTAGCACATGGAGCCATTGCTGTACATGCCAGCTGTGTTCAGGAGTGGTGCAGGGCCAGGGCAGGAGTAAGCCTGTCTCAACCCCACTGCTCCATCACCTGGAAACCATCTCAGTTAAACTTTGCCCAGCCAGAGCCTGCTTCCTGAACCCCTGTACCAGCCCTGACCCTCCTCCTGCACCCAAACTCCTTCCCACAGCTTGCACCCTGAAACCCCTCCTGGACCCTAATTCCCTGCCCTGGACTGTGCCAGGTGCCCTTCCCATGCTCCAAATCCCTTGGCCCAAGACCAGAGCCTTTACCCCAACCCCCTACCCAGCCTGGTGAAAGTGAGTGAGACTGGGGGAGGAAGAGGGATGGAGTGAGCAGGGTGAGGCCTTGAAGAAGAGCTGGAGCAGGGGCAGGGCCTCAGAGAAGGGGCAAGAAAGAGGTGGGGCAAGGGGATTTGGGCTTGAGGTAGATCTCACATTGCACTTAAATTGAAAAAGTGATCTTGTGGTTAAAAAGATTGGACACCGCTGCTCTAAGGAACCATTCAAGGTAGGACCAATACAACTGCAACTACACTGCATGTTTGAGCATTTCAATGTACAGCTTACATAGTGATTAGCACATAGACTCAGCAGACTTTTGAGCTGTCATCTAAGAAGACACTTCTCATACACTCTTTGTAGGCACCCAGGCCCAGATTCACAAAGGTACTTAGGCTCCAGATTTCTGCTGGAATCAATTGAGACTGGGAACTGAAATCCCTTTGGGCATCTGGGACCAAGGTCCCAATTCAGAGAAGCATTTATGCACATGCTTATGTATAGTCCAGAACAAGATCTGTGTAATTTTAAGCACATGTTTAAGTGTTTTCCTGAATAGGAATGCTTTCCTGAACCACAGCTAAAATGATCATGAAAGTGTCAGAACGTACCAATTTTGTTGTGCTTTAATGTTTTATTTTAATTATCCAAAACCAAAACAACAATGTTTTCTACTTTATTTTCAAAATGTGTCTTTCCTCATTACTGTACCTCTGACAATCTGAGGTACTTTATCCCACGTTCTGGTAACAATCATTTCTCAATTAATAAGAACATTTTGTTTCCAGTTGCGTGTACTTGTGATGTTAAATGTTTACAAAGAATATAACCGCAAAGTTCTCTTGGCCTGTGACTAATCTTCAAGTCCCATAGTCAAATTTCAAACAGCTGTTGTAAAATGAGGTATCTCCGGGTAAGCTTCTTATACCCTTGATGCCAAGCTTCCTTTGGATTGTCATATAAGAAAGGCTAAAGACATTTTATGGTGCCTTTTGTGGTCATAAAAAGCACAGTATATGTTAAAGAATTGGAGCGAGAAGGCCAAGGACATGCGATCAAAGGTTAAAATAGTGTATGCGTTGGAAAAACTAGTGAGATTGAGGAGACTGATATACAGAAAAGGACAAGAGTGACAATACCCTTCATGTGTGGTTCTAAAACAAGGTGGCTACGTTTAGATTGGCATGATTTTGCAGAAATACTTTTAACTGAAAGTTGGGTTCTTTCTCATTACTTTCCTTCTCCCTCACGTCTAATAGGTGAGAAGGCAGAAGTGCGTTTTTGGAATGGTTTGCATGTGGCGAAGGAGAGGCAGCTCAGGTGTTGACTATACAGTTGCACCTTCACAGATGCTGTTGCAAGATCAAGGCTGGAGGGCCCAGCAGCACTGCCAACCCCATGTTTTCACAAACCATGAATCAGGCTGGTACAATCGGGGAAATTGGCTTTAAAAATCATTAGATTTTTGAAAAAATTATTTATTTGCCTTCTGCTTTGTGAGCCTTTAGGGTTCAGGCTTTCAGGCTTTTCTCCATCATTATAAGGAGTGGAAACTTACTTTTACAAAATGAAAGTCCCTGGAAATCCCATGAATCCAGGGGCTGAGGCTTTAGGAAAGCCACCAAATATTGCAATAAACTCACAAGCACTGGCATTACTACAACAGGGAAAGGAAGGGCCTGCAGAGCACAAGGATAGCATGAAAGAGGCCTCAGAGAAGAGGCTGGCTGTAAGAAAAGGAAACAACAGGACTACTCAGGCTGGTGTCATTGTAGAGTGGAGAGGGCACGTGGGGTAATACAAATAGAGACTAAGTCAAAGAATATCATTTGCAAACATCATTGCTGTGATGTTTATCCTCAAGTAGATCATGCATGTTAAATAAACACCAGAGCTAACACATCCCTATGCGCTCTTTCCCGCAAATTGATACTTGACATTTATCATCTTTACTCTTTTTGTACAGTCTTAACCATTTTGGAGCCTGATTCTCTTCCTGACCCTACCACTGATTTGCTTTCCTGCCCCAGGCAAGTTATGTAATCTGCTTGTGTTTCTGCATCCCCAACGTAAAATAGACACAAATGTTTACAAAGCAGTTTAAGAGTGATGGATGAAAAGTATTATACGGCATATTTTGAAAGCCCTTTAAAAATGTGAATTAGCACCACTTCTGTGCATTGTTTTATAATTATTGCACAGAGGGGGAAATGGAGGCAGGGAAGTTAAGTGAGTTGCTCAAAGGGGGAACCAGTATCAAAGCCAGGATTAGAACTCAGAAGTTATTAACTCCTGCTTCTGTGCTTGGCCTGCTAGGAAACCCACTCTCCTAAAGGCAGTAGCCTAGCAAATTAACCTACTATCATCTTACTGACAGTTAAGCCCTTACTAGTTATTTAGAACAATAAAATGAAGGGCTGTTTGCTATGTTTGGATTTCCAGACTGTCTAATCTTTGGCTGAGAGGTCAGCTAGATCAATTTTTTCCAGCCTGTGGAATTGGCATGAGGCAC